TCCGTAACTCGAACAATTCAGCATCTCAGATGAAGCAAGGAAACTGCATTAAATTGCCACAATGATGCTATTATGACAGGAAGGTGGCCTCACTTCCCTGCCACGTAGTTCCAAACATGTACTATGGTTTCTGTGGCAAAATCGCACTATTATATATCACACAAAATTAATCAATAGTGAAATTTAAAGTCTCGAACTATCGGTGGAACTATAACAAACTCAATTGTTTGTGTTTAAAATTAGTATTCTCAAATGTGGAGCATCTCTCTCAGAATAAGATAAAAACATGAATTGTTTACTTTTTTTTGCTAACAAAGTACCAATAATGATATCAGCTTACCATTACAAACTGTTACGTTTGAAATATCAATATTCCTGTGTTCATTGCAAAGCAGTGAGCTTTATTGCAATATTCAGTCTGTTAGTGAGTTGCTTTTTCGTTCACAGTAAAAATTATAACGCTTTTTGCTTTAAAATGACATATAAAATAATATTGCTCTCAAAACAACATTTTCGCCAATGTGACAGTGGATCTATTGTCACAGTGTAAAAATGTCATTTTGAATCCTATAAGTGCTGTATGTTGTAGTTTCAATGAAATATTCAACCAACGAATTGAAATATGTTTGGTGAATGTACTATAATTATACTGGGCGGCAACATTTAACCAATCAAATTCACTTTTACGTTCATGACATATGCAAATAGAACCAACAATTTTTAGTTTAGAAATTGTTACGTTAACACAAGTCAAAATGTAAATATTATCAATTCGACAACAAATCCATGTTAAATCTGATATGCTATGAAGCGTAGTTGATTGTAGGCTCCATTCTGTACTTTCCCTCGGGCGTATACCAACTGATGTATGTATTTCATGAAAACAGGCGTACCAGTCTTGCAGGTAGTTTAACCATACCGGCCTATAGTTTTGTTATGCATATTATACGCATATGTGTAGATAAATGAGAAAACCATGTGATCATAACATTGAACCTGAATGGCTCTGATTGAAATTTCTTTACTCATTTTTGGGAGAGGGCATTTCCTTCAAGTTGGTGGGATCTTCAAGTTGTCAGCAGTATCTGTAAAACCAGAGTCTCCGAGGCATTTCTATCAATTTCTGATGGTTGTGGGGCAAGTGGGTCGTATATGCCCCCGAAGTCTGAGAATACATATTTTTATATTACTCATTTGTTTTTCTTATTTTACAAAGGAACAGACCGAGTAAAATTCTGGATCCGCCCAGAGAGCATATTTCGAAATAAATAGCTAAGGATCAATGGCATTACGCCGGAAATTGTGTACATTTGTTTAATTAACATTCGCTCGTTATTCGTCTGAATAGTTGTATCCATCACACTATAAAGAAAATAACAGTTATAAAGGCCGTGTTGTGTTTTTATATATATTTTTATATATGTTTTAACTAATCATAGATGAATACAATTCAAGATTAATGAAAAGGATTTTGCAATATTAAAGTTAAAATTAGTAAATAACTAGTATATAACATAAATCAACAGTTAACAATATGCTATTGTATGATAAAAAATATAATGCCAAAAAATGCTATTATTAGGACACAGCACAATATTAATAAAGGATTATTTTATATTTGACTCATTTATAAGTTTATTATATATATAGTGTTTCAACCCCATGTCATCCCGTAATAAATTGTTATATTGTCAACTTGGCTACATTTATAACCAACATTTTCTGAAACGTCAACAGTTTTATATTGACTTACAGTACAGCATGTATTTCGTCAAAATGTGCAAACTAAGGTAGAGCGCTACGCAAAATTAAAATATTGCCATTTCGTTCATTTTAACATATTTCATATACCATGTTACATTGATTAGGAAAATTAATTAAACATTTTATCATTGTTTTCTATGGCATAGAGATCTTAATATCTCAAAATTGTGCTTGATAACATGTGTAAAAATATATATAGTGTCTTACAACGTATCTTTTGATGCCTAGAAGTATTAAAAAAAATACAATATTTAGTGGGTTTTTGACAAGTAAATTTGTTTTCATTGAGGTCTATGGAAATCGCGGCTAAAATAGCATTGTTGGCATTTTATTTTAACGTTTTCCTCAAAAAAAATATTGACATAATATTAATATAAATGTTTATGTGCGGCAAAATTTCAAGGACAAAAATTTTTAAATGCAACAAGGGAATATTGTGATATTTGAAAAGTGCAATTATGCTATATTTGCGTATCGCTTCCCAGGGATACACATGTATTGACACGAATATAAAGTTATTTTTAATCCGTTAACTAAACACAACACACACGCGATCAGAGCCGTGATACTAGTAATATGGGTACACGTCGTCGTTAATATTGCACCAAATAAATGTTCTGCGAACGAGGATTGATATGCTGCGCATAAAAAGTGCGCGTAAGAACCAGCCATTTTGCGGCAATTTTTGTGTCGTTTTGGCAATGCAAGTCGCAATGAATTCTACCGATGTACGACCAAGTGACAGCGGTAAGTTTGAGTTCTGATTTCGCGAGTTAATTTTTAAATGCCGTTTCAACATTTGGTCGATAGGTGAAATTAGATTTTAACTCGCGTAAACACTTGCAATGTGGATTGTTTTTGAGGTGGTCTCGTGTTGCACCGTGTTGTACATGTATTACGAGCAACTTCGACACGTATCCAGTGTGACTCGTCGCTTATGTTATCACCCCCTGTCATCGCAACCAAATCAAATTATCAAGCATATATTGTTGGTGCTGGTGGACTTCTCAACCTAAAGTGTTGATCCACAGATTCGTTCCTTTGACTTCAGAACATACATATGTAACTGATAATACTACATCTGCTTCAGTGGCGTTTTCGATCTGTATCCGAAAAACGATAAATCCCATATTTTTTTTCTTACACAAAAACAACGTGTAACATCTTGTAGATGCAGTATATTTTTCTATAATCCTTTTAATTTTTGCGGCTAATTTTAATTAGCAATTTGGTAATTCAATAATATCCATGTACCAGAATGTTGTTCTGCTGGTTACTCATCCTAGTCTGGACTGCTGCTGTGCAGAAACTTTGCTCCTTAACCTTTTCACCACCAGACTTTCTCGCCCAAATTATTCTGCACTTTTTTCTTATATTCTTCAATATTTCTGGAAAGCAACCCTAATTTTGAAACAAAAAAAATTTAAGTAAATTTTCAGTTTTGAAATCTTAGCACCATGTAGTGGGTAATCATAGTCTGAAACCACCAGCCTATGTTAATGGATTTTTTAGGACAAGATTCTGTGAAAGATGCTCTGACTTTTAGGAGCTCGGGGACATTTCACTGCTACAAAATTTCACGATTTTCATAGACTTTTGTTTCTTGAAAAATTAAAGCAATTTACATTATTTAACTTGTACTCCTGGAACTGAAGGCTGAACATGCATTCTTGCTGAGTGATCTTAGTTGATGTAATGTATTCAGATAACTGACACTTGACATAGGAAAATTAAAACAAATTAAATCATGGGAAAAACACCATATTCTGTTCCAATTGTTTCTAATTTCCAAATTTATCTATAATTTTTCTTGAAAATATCACCAAAATTTATGTGCATACATGGAGATAACATCAGACCCAACATCTCGGCTACCGTTTGGGTGAGTACACTGGAAGTGACGCACAGACGATCCCTTGAAGAACCAATGTGAATGCAATACTTTGTTCAATTTGCCACAATGTTTTTTCCGTTGCTGATTATTTGTTTAATATTACAATGGTTGATCACATAGCCAAACGTCACAAACCTATCATGCTCTGTCTCTTCTTTTTTATTTGTTGCATGTTATCTTATAGATTGCATAATACTAATTTTAGTACAAAAATATATATGCCGTGTCATGGATTTATGGATATAAGTATGGTATTGCATTGACATTCATAGAGGTGTATGCTCCCCATAACATGTGTAGTAAAATTTGTGTGTCCTGCTCTCCAATAAAAATACTGATTTATTAGAGAAAATCAAATGATTTTCATAATTAGCTGTGATTGGTTTACTAACAAGGTGGAACCATTGTGCGTTTTTCAGATGGTAACCTCCAAGTTGATGACGTTCATAGGTGTGCGCAGTGCCAGATTGAATTTTATACATTGTCAGAATATGTGGCACATAAATATTACACCCATAGACTAAGAATAACTTTCACGACATGCAAGGAAAATCCACAAATAGTTTTACCAAGTCTGCAACCAATTGAGAAGGAAAACATAAATAAAGGTAATGCAAGTCTGGGAATGTCACATTTAAGTTTGTTGTCTGTTAAATATAAACATGTATGTGCCCATGGCAGGAATATGTGAAATTTATCTTGTCACATGACTGCTGGATGTACAACTACCGGGTATCACTGATATGTCACCGTATGAAAGCATATAACTGCCTCAGACCTGTATAGGGTAATGTGTTCTTTTGCCAACAAACGCCCTGCTTACTCCCTGTGACTAGACATTTTAATGATAATTTTGAAAATATTCTTGTATTATTCATGTGATGAAAAAAAAGTTGTTTTACTGATTACTTTGTCAGATGCATACGTATATGTAGCCATAGATGACTCAGCTGTTGATAATCAACAAAGTAGTGATAATAACTCAGGTGAACAACAACTTGGTGAGTTTAAAATATTCCATTCTCTAATCACCACTATAACGTACCATTACCTTTATATTCTGTTATGTCATTGCTATATATACAATCAGATGATAAAGTTTTATTCTATGGGCCCTGCCATTTTGTTGTAAAATTCGGCAATACAAAGTCCACTATTCTGGTGTTGCAGAATTTGTGATGTAAACATGCAAGTATGTTAATGGTAACCAGGGTTTTCTATAACAAATTTTGTTAAGAGGGAGGACAACTTTGTTACCATTTGGTAACACTCTATATTTGTTATAACTGATCTTAATCTACTGACTGTTCCAGGTTCTGTAAGAGGGCGCATTCTAAGGGTTATAATAACAGCAAATTCACTTATTTGTGTTCAGCTACTGTAATACATAATTCATTTATGGCGACAGTTTCACGCCGTAATTTAGTATCTGTGAGCACCAGTAAATTATTATGTTCTTTATATTTGCAGGCTTGAAGTGTGCAGATTGTGAGCGTACATTTCGTCATGAAGAAGCACTGGATAAACACCGTAGAGTGAACCATCAGATATATAGCTGTGAGAAGTGTAACATTACTCTCAAATCCATCTCTGCTGTCAAAGCACATGTCAAATCTCATTCACCAAGTGGTAAACCTTTTGTATGTGGGACCTGTAACAAATCTTTTAAATTGGTATGTACATCTATATGTACCGGTATGTACGGTAATACATTGAGAATATTCAATTAGTGACTGTATAAAAACTGACATTTTAATTTATGTAAAACAGAAATTTTTAAACATGTTTTAATTTTGTATTTGAATTCAGTTTGGTGTATCATGCTGGTATTTTGATTCATTGTAGGAAGCCATATTGAAAGCTCATCTAAAAGTGCACTCTGGTATAAGAGATTATAAATGTCCAGAATGTGGAGATAGTTTTAAAACTAAAGGTTCATTGGATAGGCATTTGAGAAGACATACAGGTAAATACATCATAGAGCCGGAAGCTGTGGTTATCGTATTTTTCAATCATCTAATGTTGAGGCGAAAGTCCTTTTGTGATACCATATGAGTAAACACATAATGATGTGTCATGCAATATTTGGATATATGGAATATATTGCATGATATGGAATCAAAAAATCATTTTCCAGTTGTCTAGGTGCCATGTGCATATGCAGAGCATGAGTGTCCTAACTTGGCTCAGTATATTAAAAAAAATTAACAGATTGACAAAAAAATTACAGCTTGTATACCTTTCACTATAGGATAAGTTGGCTGCATTGGCGTCCATTGCACTTAATCTATCATAACACCGGTACGTATCATTCATATCACAGAATGCAATTATGTTTGTTTTCAGATGAAAGACCGTTTGTATGTCCCGATTGTGGACGTAGTTTTCGTGAATCCGGTGCATTAACACGACACATCAAAGCGCCAACTGCTTGTCCATTAAAAGGAAAATCACCAGAACCGGAGGATGATACAACCTGTTCAAGTTATAACAGTTCTGCAAAAATACCTAGTATAACACATAATATTGGTACTAGACTTCAGACTAAAGTCAAGCAGGTGCAAGGTAATCACTCCACACTCTTAGAGATACATTATGCTAAATTCTTACAGACTTCAATGACTAATGCCTTTTGCACCATAATAATTGTCATTATACTACTATCAATTCCGTATTTGCTCATTTAGAAGCACATCTCCAATATAAGTGCATGTATTTTGACCATACACACAACTCTCTCATTTATGTAAGCGTATGTGCCACTGCCAGTAATGTGCAAAATATTGTATTCACTTAATCAGTAAACCTTGCCAGTATATTATTATATTGACAAATAGGTTGAAAAATTTGTATGTGTGAATGTACAGTGAATATTATATTTGCTTAGTTATCATATGCGCTTTAATAGGTAATTGTGTCTTTGGTCTAAATGAGTTGTTTTATTGATTCAATACAATAATAACATATTTGGTTTGTGTGTTCTTCTATTAATTAAAGAAGCACATCTGACATATTGTATATATAGCATGAATTAGAATGATGCTTAGAGTGATAAAGTAAAATAAATGCTTGATTAGTTGACACAGCTTCTTTACCTCTATAGAACAATTGAGTGCAACTGCGCTGCAGCAGCAGCAGCAACAACAACAACAACAACAACATGAGAGCATCGCTGAAGAGAATGTTATTCAGGCAGCTGAAAATGCAGAGAATTCCAGCCAAGTTTTGTACACAGAAAATGAACCAAAACAACACATTGAAATCATTGATACACGTGAAGCTGAAGTATTCCTGCCATTACAGTGCCGGGCATGCAGGGAGGTGTTTGACAACACTGATTCATTGAGGGAGCACCTCAAAATGCATATTGGCACTACACCTCATCGCTGTGGACTATGTATTTTTGCTACTCGGACACGTAATGGTCTGCAGGACCACATGATGAGTGCTCATAGCAAGAGACTCATAATTATAAATGAGGTAGATGAGGTGATGGAAGAAACTGAGCAGGCCACTGTGCAAGTTGTTGAAAACATGGAAACTGACAATGATGCGCAGATTGACATGGATAAAGAAGAGGAAGAGGTGAAGTGGGTTCAGTTCATTTAGTTTCTGTAACTGCATTTATATAGTATAATATAATATAGGAAACCTAGTTAATTGCTGAATCTATGTCTAGTATATGGCATTCCTTAGCTGCAGCTGAATCTGTAATGTCACTAATATAATGGCATTTTAGCTGCAGCTGAATCTGTAATGTCACTAATATAATGGCATTTTAGCTGCAGCTGAATCTGTAATGTCACTAATATAATGGCATTTTAGCTGCAGCTGAATCTGTAATGTCACTAATATAATGGCATTTTAGCTGCAGCTGAATCTGTAATGTCACTAATATAATGGCATTTTAGCTGCAGCTGAATCTGTAATGTCACTAATATAATGGCATTTTAGCTGCAGCTAAATCTGTAATGTCACTAATATAATGGCATTTTAGCTGCAGCTGAATCTGTAATGTCACTAATATAATGGCATTTTAGCTGCAGCTGAATCTGTAATGTCACTAATATAATGGCATTTTAGCTGCAGCTGAATCTGTAATGTCACTAATATAATGGCATTTTAGCTGCAGCTGAATCTGTAATGTCACTAATATAATGGCATTCCTAGCTGCAGCTGAATCTGTAATGTCACTAATATAATGGCATATCTGGCTGCAGCTGAATCTATAATGTCACTAATATAATGGCATTCCTAGCCGCAGCTGAATCTATAGCTTAACACATCATAAAGCTTCCACAATAATTCGATTTGAATAGTATACATGTGTAAAGGTGTCAGCGAGCAGCATGTGATAACCAGTATAGTGGGAACCCTGGCTACAGCAGGTCTCTTGCTAGAATTAGCTTTAAAAGTAAAACACCTTACATATTTTAGTTTAATTAATATGACCCAAGGAATCCAACGACTTTATAGAAATAGGAATAAATAATTCATGGTGAAAAAAATAAGAATAGTGGGATATTTTTATATACATTTGCTGATCAGTAGATTGGTATAACATATATATACACCATCAATCCCTTCACTCTAATGCAGCTGATCACCATTAGAAAAATAGCAGACCCGTCACAGTTATCACTGTGATCTAGGTCACATTGCCATTCAGCATGACTGTATTTGGGCTTTTTGGCAAAATGAGCAGTGTTGCAAAGAGAAAACGTCATTGATCAAAATAAAATTTTATACCTTGTTATACCTAACAATTGATGAATAATTTTATTAGAGAAACGTTTCATTAGTGTGTTAAAATCCAACCGTTGTTTCACTTTTCAGAATGGTTCTTTTAGTGCTGCTGTTCAACAGTTTATTGAGTTGCAAGATACTGGTGATCCAGTGGAACCTATCAACTCTGGAATCCATGGTTACAGAGTCACACACAAGTGTTATCTGTGTCATCGCAGCTTCCGTGGTAAAAGTTATCTCCGTGCTCACCTTCGGAAACATACTGGTGAGTGTTGTACTACTATGTAGCTGTTGAATACAGTCAATTACATTCTTTCAAATTCTACTATTATTGTCAAACCTGTGTTAGTGATCACCTCACCACTACCTGCCTATAGTGATCATTTTTACGCCGTCCCAAGGAATAACGTATGAGCAACCTGTGTATAAAGACCACCTGTCTTATGCATCCACTCTTTCAGCAATATTATTGCAGATTTGCCTTTTAGGAACCAAAATTATTATTATTATTGCCAATTTTTAAGTCAAATTTATTTGATTTTAATTTTGATCAGCTCAAATAAATGTGTAGCATAAATATGGCTGAATGTAGTTAAAGTGTTTTTGTTGCAATAGTTCATGACTTCCATGTCATTATTTTCTAGTTACATACATGATAAATGTATGATTTGGCAGTCCATAAAAATCCACCTGTCAATTTAATAAGAAGTCCTTTTGGTGGTCGCTATAAACATGTTTGACTGTACTACCGTACATTCACTGTACTTGCCAATCCCCTCCACCTGTGATAAGAGATTATCTAAAGAAGTCTACGTGATAGGATACATGTATTGTGTAACTGTCATCAAACTTATTTTCTTCTCCCAAAATAGATATCTTGTATAGTAACATTTGTTGTCCAATGTTTTTCAAATACTGAAACTTTCACACTGAAATCTCGGCCTGAGCATGTTGATTTGTGTTGTGATGGCCGACTGGCAACCACTTCAATTATGCAGTTTTTTTCCCCGCACTTGTGTTTATTATCTATTAGAATTCATGCTATCCAGTTATGTATAAACAGTGGTACACAGAAAATTGTTTTTGTGCATATAGATGAAAGTTGATTTTTGTAAAATTTAATCCAAGATGCCCAATTGGGAGGTATGTAAATGTGTCGAAATGGGCGTAGTGCGAGTGGTTAGTGCTAGTAGCACTAATCCGAAAAAGTACTAGATCTAGTGCTAAAATGGCACTAGATCTAGCGCTAAAATGGCACTAGATCTAGCGCTAAAATGGCACTAGATCTAGTGCTAAAATGTACATAGTGCGAGTGGCATTGATATCGCGTTGTCAACGACGTCGAGACATCCCGTAATTGTCCGAAAATGAATTAATATTTACGTAAATTGTTGTATCTTTCATTCATTGGAAATGTGCT